ACCTACCCAACCTGAACCTCCAGGGTCCTGACAAGGTGTCAGGTTTAGTCGTGTTTTGTTTCATAAAGCTTCAGGTGCTTTAGTCCTGGATGAAACAAAGCAAAAATGCAGCTTCATCTGCAGTTGAAGGAATAAGACATGGGGTAACGCCTGGATTCAAACCTTTTTTTTCAAACCTCATATTTCGGCAGCTCTGCTTGGCAGATCGAACAACAGGAAACGTGCACCTGAGCTGCAAAAGTCGTCATGCTGCTGGCTAATATCTACACAAGTAGCTCAGAACTGGAGCTGAAGCCATGGGATTTCCCAACCTATTAACTATTACTATTTATAACCATGTGGCCCACTGTGAACAAGAAAGCGTTCATCGAATGACAGAAATAGACACCTTTGTTCTCAGCCTATGGAGTTTAAAGTGGTAATTCATATGTATACTCTAAAGTAGAGAACAAAAGACTTGGCTGTGCTGTATACATTTTTTACAGGAACTTTTGAGGTTTATATTCAAAATGCATGCACACTGAGATGCTCCAATACAGTTTTATCCATTTATCATTTATTTGTATTATTTCCATTAAGAGAATTTTTGTTGATTAGATTTAATAAAACAAAAAATTGACAGCATCCATATATAATTTTCTAGTCTTTATAACCACTCAGTGTGCCTCATACTACAGGTCAATCCATTCACAAAGGGATTCGCACATTCACACCCATTTGGGGTTTGGTGTCTTGCCTGAAGACACTTAAATTTGCAGATGGGAGGAGCCTGGGATTGAATGACCAACCTTCAGATTAGTGGACACCCTGCTCTACAAGAAAGCATGTTTGAGTCCTTAAAAGCATTAGGGTTATATGTGGGGATCCCAGGAAGTGCACCGTCAACTAAGTATTGTTGGTTGTAGAGAAAAGGAGAGTCAGAGAATTATGAATTGATTAGTAGGATGTTGTCCACTAACAGGCACGTTTTGAACAGGCAGAATCGATCAAACACTGGAGGTGTCATTGCATGTATGTATAAAGGATACGCAAACTACCACAATCAAGTTTGTTTGAGTCATAAAACATAAAACATGAGACGTTGAGCTGACTGAGAATTGATGTTGTCTATGCAGGTGCTGTCAGGATGTGAATGGAAGATTCAAATTCCTTTGAGTGTGTAAAAACAAGAAACGGCTTGTTATGTGGTTTGGCCTTAGACAGGATGCTAACCCTTTTGCTCTTTCCTGTACAGAGCAGAAGTAGCTGTTGTCATGTATCCTGACCTGCACTGCCGGCTCTGCAAAAGGGTCTTTGTGCACCGTCTGTCTGTCTGTCTGTGCGCTGACACGACACATGGTCCGATGGTGAAGCTCATGTTTCCTATGTGTTTATGGTCTGTTCTGATGGTTGTGCAGAATTGTCAGAAAACATACAAAACTAGCTTAATCATTTTCAAGAGGAGTCCAACTGGAATCTTTATTGTAACTTGTGAGTTAACATCCATCAAACCATGTTGGGATTGGAGGGATTAAACGCAATTTTGAATAATGTTGCTGCATCATGTGGGAAGAAGTAAAAATAAGAGATATATACAGTCATCACAGTGTAAAATTACATATTATTAGCACAGTTTCTATATCAAATAGAATCTATGAACACTAGAAACTATTTCAGGATTTCTTCTGGAGTTGAACTAAAATCGATTTGATTCACGAATTAAAAATATGTATGAGTTAGTTAACTATTGAACTACAATGTATGGATTGTCTTAACTCTCTTAGTGCAAAGTCACACCCAGCAGGCAGGTTTCAACTGTTTACTCAAGCTCTCCTTTGTGTGTTTGTGGTTAAGTGTGGTGAGAGCAAAAGTCAGCCTGAAGACGCCATTTCATACTGCAATGAACACAGAGCTCTGTCCTTTTAAACACTGCGTCTCCTTTTTGTCGTAACTATTTCATGATTTTATAAATTGAAAGTATTGTGTGAAAAAGAAGAATCTCAAACCTTTAAGTTTTTGTAAGTGTGAAAGTCTATCATATATCCTTTTTGTAAAAGATGTGTATCAAGGACTTGCATATGTGCCTAAATAGTTGCTCATTTTATGGTGTGATACAGAAATTGGCCAAAGTTAAGGAGAAAATATTATGGAGCCAAAGCACAGACAGATTAACACAAAGAATACTTGAAAGGCACTCACTAGAACAATTACCTTCGTCAAGGCCCAACAGTCTCAATAAATTCAGTCAAGCTGCACCACATTTCACACACTCAAAGAAATCAAAGACAGAGAAAAAAAAGAATCCTGGATCTGCCCCCTGATGCAGATCCACACCAAAATGGAATGTGTTCTTCCCTGACCCATACCACATCCCTCCGCTAATCTTCACACTAATCCATTGAGTTGATTTTGTCTTGTTCCTTGTTTACATACAAACAAACCAACTAATGGACATATGTGAAAACATATCAAATATGATAAATATTAAATCATTACTGTTTACCAGTAATATATAATTTATTTATCATATCAGAACATGAATTGTCAAAGTGACACAGTGATTCATCATGACTTTTTTCTAAAATCCCCTGAGGCCCCACATCTCCCGACCTCATCAGACAACAAGCTTTCTCATAACTGAGTGTGCAAGCTGACGCCTGCAGTCGACCATGAAGAAGAGAGAAGTTCATAAAATAAATGACTATATTTGAATCACTGTCATTCCATATGAACCTTAAAACTGGGATTCACTCCTTTGACAGCATTACTGTATTTGAAATACAGTCCAACCATTAACATGAAGAAGAAAGAATTCACAAAGCTTCTATTAAGATTCAGGCTTGTCTGTCTTGTCTATTGCGTCTTCCAGCTGAGGTTTTGATGAAAGCTCCCGTGAGGTCGTCTACTGTCTGTCAGGAATGGTAAATAATGCGTCTGTGGTTACCGTGGCGATGTATGACTAAGAACACAGAATAAAAGCTGGTTGTTTAGAAGAAGACGGAGGCTGTATTGTGGTGTATGCACTCAATGCTGTATGTGAAACACGCCACATGGGATCTGTGTGCTCAAAGACACGATGATTTGTGAAGCGTCAAACAAACGGGGCAACAGCAGGTTTCAGCTGAGACCAACTACGCCCAGGTGTTTCTACCACTGACACTGTGAGGACTTTGTTTCATTACGTAAGCCAAAGCCTTTTCATGACTTCAGCAGCTTGTCACTCTGCCCTCCTCTGTGACTGAGAAGCAAAACATGCAGAGGGAGCACAAAGGTCAGAGTGAGGTTTGTATTGTGCAACAAACAGGCTATGAGGAGGGTGACAAACATGATTTGGAAAGAAAGTGTCCCAAATGTTTTCCCATGCAGATCATTTTATTTGATGTTTGAACCACTGTAAGTTAGTGTCATACACGTGTAGGACTGCTTTAGTGCTGACACACTGATATATAATGTATAAATAAATGTTTGAGAAATGAACATACAAGGAAAATGTGTAGTTGCAGCAAATAAATGGAAATGAAATAATATGTCTAACATTCAGTTTTACCTTATGGTCAAAAAGCCCAAACTTACCAAAACTAACAATTAGTTGAACCAAATAATAATTTATTTATGCAGTCAAAGCCTAATACAACTGCGCCATTAAGCTTTTATTATTGTCCAAGAAGACTTGACTCTTTAGTACAATGAACATGGGCACTGGAGTGTCCCCATCCTGCCCACCAACAACCCAACCTTCCCTGATACAGGCCTAGGATAATCTAATCCACTTGGGTCTATACTTTGGACCCTGTGTGTCAGTCCATCCACAATCAAGATTGACAGAGAGAAACGTAGCTGGAAAGCAATGATCTGCCCAGTGGAGCTCTGCAGCAGGGATTTTATTGAAACATCCACAATCAAGAATCCACGGACAAACCCTGCACCAGACCATAAAAGAAACGTCATGGACTGCAGAACACTGCAGTCAGTGACGCTGGATCGGAAGGAAAGACCCCAACTGGGCTCCACGATGTCCTGGATGCACACCAAGTTCTGATCAGCCTGTGTTGGGCCTGCCTTAGAGGAGGGTGTCTTGTGACCAAAAGGGCAAAACACCCTTTGACACTAAGGTACACAACCAATGATATGTTCCTCACATCCACTGGCGATCACTAATAGCTGCTGGTGATCCCTAAGATCTGCTGGTGGTTGGCACCTTACCATCAAGCTGGTGCGGAAGATGTTCATATGTTCAAGGGCTCTCTGCCATCTTGTCTTATAATCTAAAAAGAGGCACACCCAGGAAGCTGTGGAATAAACGCATGTCAATCTGCAGTTAAAGTGTATTTAATACTCTTGTGTAACATATTATCGAATAAACGGAGAATAATTCTGGCAATACTTTTTAACTACAACAATCCTGCCTCACGGGACAAGGCCTGTGTTGTTCTACGTCTTCCTTACTGTCAACAAATTTCACGAAAAGCATATCAGTGTTTTTTCAATTTCTTTGAGCCAAATGATTCCATCTAATAAAATATTTTCCCTTGTTAAGTAAAATGAATGAAGTCTGTGTTCGATGTTAGTCAAACATCATAATGCAGAGATAAGATCTGAGTTTAGAGACAATGGAGGTGGGGACACAGATGAATACGCTTCATCAAATGTAGGTAGGTGTAAGAAGGATCCAGACATTTGTGGAAGGTTTGGTGTTAAATAGCATTAGTTTGCGATAAGAACAATATAAAATATGACGACATGAAGCATTGAAACCATATAAATGTCAGAGATGAGTGTGCATGTAAAGAGTGAGAGAGCCACACCCGCCTACAGCGCGTGAAAGCGACGAGTGATTGGCCGAGTATCTCCATGGAAATGCGATGACGTCTTCGTCCCTTGCTCTAATTGGAGGAAACCCCGTGGCCCCAGCCGCTGCAGCGTTCCGGTCTGTCAAACTATCCCCTACCCAGAAGGCCCGCCCCTTTACCCCGCGCTGAGAGACCACTGGTTCACTCGGCTAATTCTTGTCTGTCAATCAACACAGGGGTCGATTTATGATAGGCCACTTGCAGCCATACGACCCGCCCCCCGTCCTGCTCACTGCTGTTAGGTGTTCGCTGCTGTTCTTCGCCTCTCGCTTCACTCTGTCAAATCGGATCAGTTCGTGGAGCAATCGGATCTCAGGAGGTCAGAAACGATGAGTATTTCACTGTGTCCATGATCCTTTTAAACGCGGCATCACGGGGCGATCGCTAAACTCTCACCTGGCTGATGAATTTGATTCACTGAACGCTACGAGTGTCGGTAACTGGACGTTTCTTCGTTCAAAGGAGTGGCCGATGTAGCTAAAGCCCGTTAGCAGTGGCTAACTAGTTAGCTGCACCCACCAGACAGCTTTGTGGCGGCTTCTCCACAATATCCCGATTCTCGTAGCCTGCCTCGGCTTCTCAAACCGTTTTAAAGACAGTGGTTTATTCGTATCTTCACAACGCGAGTCATGAGGAATTCCTTGTAATTAATTGTCACAGCGGGTCGGTACATTTAACGCAAAAATCGCCCGTCAACTGATTGTCTTGAAGGATATAAATGGCTGCTGTTACCGAACATAGTGCCTCTAGTTTCAAGCTAACACCGGGCGGATGCACGTCCTCATGCCTAGATAACGATCCACCGATTATTTCCACCCACACGTATTAATTGCATTAACCTTTTTTTTCCGCAGCTCGTATCGGTGAGGAATTACATCGTCGATCCCCCTGCTGCACACGACCCTTCAGCACCGCAGCCCGTGACTGTCGCGTATCCCCCTGCATTTCTGACTTCAGTCACACAAACATGGATAAAGCTGTGGATAAAGCGGATCTTATTCAGAAGGCCAAGCTGGCCGAGCAGTCCGAGCGCTACGAGGACATGGCAGAATTCATGAAGAATGTCACAGAGATTTCGACGGAGGAATCTCCGCTGCTGAACGAGGAGCGGAACCTGCTGTCCGTCGCCTATAAAAACGTGGTCGGGGCGAGGCGGTCCGCGTGGAGGGTGTTGTCCAGCATCGCGACGAAGACCGATAAAGTCCAGGGGTCTAAGCTGCTGCTGGTGACGGAGTATCGGGAGAAGGTGGAGAAGGAGCTGCAAGAGATCTGCAACAACGTTTTGGTAAAGTGTCAAGATTTTTACGCCCGTTTTGCTGCATGGATCTATACCTGAATGTGAGGTGGAAACCCCTCCCCCCAGGACACAACTATGTTAGTTTGCTGCTGGTTATGTTATATTGAAATTGGCCATTTTGAATCGGTAATGACTCGCTATACATTGTGGTTTCTGTAATACTCGTCCTCTCTTGCTCTTTAGTCAAGTATTGTTTTAAAATCAGTGTATTTTGTAGCCCAACTATTTATGGATGTAGTTAAAATAAGTGGAATACGACTTGAACGTTTACGCAATTTAATTTAGTCTTGAAAGGTGCACGCACATATTTACAGTGACTCATGATAATTTTTTCGAACGGCATCTTCCCTGTTTCCTGTGAGCGCCTTGTTGTACAAATAAGGCCCCTATAGGCGAAGAGGACAAGGAAGTATTATGCAGTCCTCCCACTGTTCCTGCCTTTTGGGAATCTGGATTTAGAACAATGGGCTTGAAACCTTGTGAGGGTGTGAACTGAGAAAAGGTCAGAGTGACTGCACCAGCAAGGTGTGTCTGATAGGAGGGGGGGTTCAAGCCACACACAGGAAAGATAAGGTGTATACTCTGTTTTCTGTGCAGCCCTGCTATGTTCTATGTCCATGCAGTCCCATCTGGCAGATAGAAGCCTAATGTGGTTAACCAAGTGCAAGATTTTTTACATGCTCAAACGACTACAGAAAGCCAAAAATGACACCCTCCTGTCGAGCTACAGATTGAAGCGCAAGATACTGTGCCAATTGGTTTTAACTTCATTTCTCTCTGCATTTTAGTACAATCGTCCACTGAAATACTTTGTGAGTCATAGGGGGAATGCTTTCGACTCTTTAATCTAATGCAACAGCACAGATTGCTTTACAGTCATTTCTGGCCTGCATCCATAATTAGATTAGAGGAGATCTGGGTACTTAGCTGTAAGATTGAGACACTTTTCCTGAGCTGCTGTCTCTAAAATGCACTGCAGAGCTGCCAGGGTAGGGATGGGTGATTTAAAAAGAAAAGAAAATAGAAAGTTTGATAGGAATATAACGAGTTCATTCTATATTTGGACGTAACATAAAAAGTCCTGCACAGTAGAAACCAGATGAACTTGCTTGTTTGGTATTAGTTGCCAGAGAGCAGAGGAATGGAGATGTTTGTTGTACAGTTCACTCAAGGGATGGGAATTGAGGGCTTATAAACTAGACAGGAATTCAGCAAGGTAGATTCAGGCTTGTCACTCTACTGTGGGACATGACTATACTTTGACGTCTGACACACATGTGAAAACAGTATTCTAGTGGTGGGGCATGGGCACATTTAATTTAGCCCAATTACCAGTGTTTCTGGGATGAAGGGAGTTTAGTAATAAAGCTATCAAAGAATCTAGCTAATCAACCATTAGCAGCAGCTTGGCTCACAGCCCCTCGGAATGAGTTCTATGTCCATGGAACTGTGTTGGCGACACTGATTTCTACAGTGAAACTGCTTTATTCAGTGGTTATCCTGGATTTATTGTTGGGTCTGGTTGTTTTTGAGAGTAGAAGAAATACTTCCTGGTAATAAACCTCCTGAGTGTCTGATTTAAAGTTATCAGAGGGATAACCTTAGCAAAATGTATCAGCAGCTCACTGCACAGTCCCTCCTGGATGATTTTTAAAATGCTCTCAGTTTGTCATAGCTTTTTATGTAAGTAGAGGGTCTGCAAATTCACAAAGGCCAGAGGCTACAACAAAGGAAGTCCTTCTCTCCCACAGAAAACACTGCTCCTGGAGTGCCTGAAATGCCTCGTTTGCATTCCTTCCTATTTTCTCCCCTTGTAAATCATCTACCGCAGGGCCACCTCCATTTTTACCATGCTTACAGTGGTGTTTACAGCTGATCAGGAAACCTTTGAGTGAACAAGGTGACATTTTCATTTCATGCTGGTGTTCAAGTGGTTGACCAATTACCTAGGAGAGGAACAACTGACTTAACCCTAAATCAGATTGTTTCTGACATGAGCTTTATTCTATTGTTTACTCTGTTTGTTACCTCTCCATTGGTTTTGGAAAAGAGTGACACTAAAGGAATACTGACTGGAGAAAGCTGACTAAAACGATGGTGATAAAGTTAGCAACCACAATGATCCCCTGTTACATCCCCAAACACACTGTAGCTATTTCTCATGTCAGTAATTCAATTGATGAATAGGGTTTAGTTCATGTTTGGAAACTATATATTTTTATTTAGACATCTGAAGATTCACACAACCAGTCAGACTTTCATTTAGTAACACCATTTGTACTATTTTAGTAGCACTGGTGACTGTAATAAGAGCTTTGTGTGAATGGCCTGAGAGCATTCCTCTGGCCTATTGTGTGGAGCGTGTAGTGAAAGATAAATGCTTTGCACTTGAGACATGCACGTATTAGTCAGAAAATGACTTGGGTGTGCCTGATGGTTCGGGTTTGATTCATATGAGTGACATCTTGCTCCTATGTTCAAGAGGAAAAGCTTTTTGTTTTTAAATAATTGCATTTTCAAATTTCAAAGATGATGTTAATATCCAACCTGAACAGACAGCCAGGGCTGTCATTGGGGTCGAGGTGATGGCAGGCATTTTCATTCTAGGCGAAATGATTAATCTGCTCTCTAAATCGGTTAACTTGAGCTTTATCCATGGTTTCACTGACACAGATTAGCCCTCGTAATCTTCTCAAGTCTGTGGAAAGATGGATGACTTGGCCTGGAGTGTAATCACAGAGTGTGATATGTAGCATACTACTTTGTTTACCATCTTTTTTTTTTAAATCATTTTTCTTTTTTAAGCAATTGTAGTTTTGAGAGGGAATGGTAGGCTATGTCTTTTCTTGGAAGCTACACGTTGAATGTTAAACAATTTAATCCTTAACCTGAGGCTCAATTTCAAGTAGTAAAAGTAGTAGTAGTAGGTGGTGCTTGTATCATTCTCTGGATGCTGCTAATTGAACTGAATTGAGTGTTTGGAGCAGCTATAGTGGAAACTGACACAGAGCAAAATGTTTCCTTAAGTGTTACTGGTTGAGCACATGTTCTTGACTCCTGATGCAGCTGAACCGTATTCATTAGTCATTGAGCTGCACAGCTATGCTCTCTGGTGGATAAAGGTGCATGGGACACTTGGGTCATTGGTATTCACACTGGACCCTTTTCACATTTGTTACATTGCAGCCTTTTTTAAATAAAGAGGTTTCAAGGAAATTTAAAAATGTGCAAATAGTCAGACTCTTTGCAATGACACTTGATGTTTAGCTCTGGTTCCTTCCACTCAAATATACATTGAGATGCTTCTACACCTTGAATGGAGGCTCACACCTACAAAAGGTCTCAGAGCTGACAATCTCACAAACTTAGTGACTTTTCAGTAATATAGCATGACTAGAGTTTCACTGAGTGATGCCATAATCAACCTTCATATTTGGATGTTGTGCTGTGCCTATGGATTAGTTCACTGTCCAGTGTGTCCACTGTGCATGTACTTTATTAAATTGATCTGTCATTTTTGTCTTCACAGAATCTGCTGGATAATTATTTAATTCCACACTCCAAAAATGGGGAGAGCAAGGTCTTCTATCTAAAAATGAAGGGGGACTACTTCAGATACCTTGCTGAGGTTGCCAGTGGAGATGACAAAAAAAGTGAGTATATAAGTCCTTGATTTGGTTTTAGAAAGACACCAACATTTTAATTTTGATTGTTTGTTCTTACCTCTTTGCTTATCTTAAATGTGCACTGTGAAGATGTGAGTCTTTAAGGTATCCATTTGTCTTTCATTTGTAGGTAGAAACTAAAATAAGCCCCCTCTGTCTTTTTGAATCTGGGACCCTTCACGCTCCGAATAGGAATGTGACAGATTTTGTCTTGGAGCTAAAAGCTGGAAATGACGTCAAATGGGTCGATGTGTCACAGTCCTGTGACCAGTGTCCTATCTTATAGGAGCCATAAGAGGGGTGGGGGTAGAGGGGAACAGAGTTCCCTTAGGGGGGAAACTGTGTTAAAGAATTTCTTTTCCTCGAGCCTTCACTGCTCCATTATTAGCAGCAAGTATTTCATCTAATGTAGATCTAAGTTTTCCTGTTCAAATCAGCTAACTGGCTATTTCTGCAAAATCAAATATTTTTTTTAAAGCTTGTAAAAATACTAAGGTAACTTCAGAGAAGCCATTGAATGAAGCTCAGTTAATGCAAAGACCAGCAACCTGACCCAACTGGCTAAAATGTCAATGTTGTCGATGATGCCCTAAATGTTACATCGTCCACGGAGGATTCAGCTCCCTCAGCGCTGGCTGCAAAGGAGCTATTGTTAGCTGTAGCTACTGCTGTGGCTCAAACGCTGTTTGCTCATCACACATGAATTTGTGTTAAACTTGCAGCATTCCACCTTTTGAAAAGTGTAATGACACTTGAGACTGCTTTCATCTTGCCCTCACTCAGTGTAGTGTTAGTTTCTTTCTTTCGTTTTTGTGGTCAGTTTGAAAACTGCTTTCAGGTGCATTACCGCAACCCACCGATCTGTAATATGTAGGATGTTTTTAACAACCTCCTGAAAGGAGGTTTTCTGAAAAATACTTAAAAACCTTTTCTTTGTGAGCCTCTGAACCAAAACCTGGCATGAAATAGCAATTGATTTATGAGCTTAAACCTTTGGCTTTTAGTGTAAATCATTTTAAATAGCTGGAAACATTAGTCAGCGTTTTGGTTTCAGTTCATCTTTTTACTGTTAATTGATTGATCTAATTTATGGTTGACGAGCAAAACCATGATTTTATAATAAAAGCAAAATGTTTAAGCTCTCAAATTTTGACTTATTATTTGCTTCATCTTTATCTGTGATAATGACCCTTACTAGAAAAAAACGAAAACCTTATAGGTGGTGGAGATGATCTCTATTTTTCTTGCTGTCAGCAGTTCAAGCACAATGCATTTGTCAGTTTCTTGATATTAAGACATCCACACTACTTTAGCACTTTAAATGAAGTTCACTGCTTCTGATTCAATTAGTAAATGTGAGCACTATGATTAATAACTAAATTTACTGCGGTTGGCATAAGCATTGGATGACAGTTTTCATCTATAGATTAATTCTCATTTGCTTGGTGTGCTGGTCATTACTAATGCTCAGCAGCATGAGTGTGGTCTTAAAATGATATTGCTCAGAGTGGATTTGTATTTCAACCTAGAATTTAACATGCATTGAATATTACAAGCTTTGGTTATTTTCTTTTCTCCTTTCTCCAGAGACCATCGGTGACTCACAGGAAGCATACGATAAGGCATTTCAAATCAGCAAGGAAAAAATGGACCCCACACATCCCATCCGCTTGGGCTTGGCACTTAACTTTTCCGTCTTCTACTATGAGATCCTCAACAACCCAGAAGAAGCCTGCCAATTGGCCAAACAAGTCTGTAGATGTGTTTTGCAAAATTCTGCCACTTGCCCTCTGTTATCTGTTACCTTTAAAGTGTAAATATTTTTCCTTTTTTTGATTTACAGGCATTCGATAATGCCATTGCAGAGCTTGACCAGCTGAGTGAGGAGTCCTACAAAGACAGCACTCTTATCATGCAGCTCCTCAGAGACAACCTGACAGTGAGTGTTCTGCTCTAACAAGAAATATAAACGATCAATACTGTGGTGCTTTGCTTGTCTGTCTTAAATCTCTGCTTCAAACAAGATGATGCTCAATCGTTTTAACTTGACTGTCTGTTTGAAACATAACATGCTTTATCAAATGAGTGCACCTACTCTCAGGCTAACCACTAGGTAAAGTGAAAATGATTGTCAGGTTGCCTGGTTTCAAGACAGTTGCATAAAATTGTTGGTCGCTACCCCATTTCTGTTGTCAGAAAGCAGATTTCAATCGTATTCAATGATCTCACTTTCTAACTAAACTCATGTTAGTTAATTCACTGTCAGTGCCTCTACAAAGTACATGAATGAATGAGAGCTCAGGTTTTTTTGTGCATGTACCTGTAGATTCATAACCCATCAAATTCAGAAATGGTGATGATGTATATTGGATTATTTTTCAAGTTTCTATTTTTCTTTCCAGTTATGGACCTCAGACAACGCTACAGAGGGGGAAGAGGGCGGAGAAGGTAACGAGGAGAACCAGAATGAGAACTAAAACACAAGCCCTCAATGTTGGGTTCATCTCCTAAAATGACAAAAGGAAAAAAAAAACTTTTTACACATCCTTCATTCCTTATTGCTCCACTCAAACATTCTACCAATGAAACCCACTGCTGAAAAGAGTTGTGTAAGGAAACAAATGAGAAAAATCATTCTTTTCACATGGCTGATTTTGACAAATGGTGAAAAACAAAAAAAAAGAAACCCTCCATTCTTCTGGTTTGTGCTTGCCCTGGCCTTCCCATGTGTGCAGTTTCAGCTGTAGAAAAGTGATTGGTAGCTTGACAATGGTATCAGACTCCTAGCTCAATTTAGAGGCTGAGAAAAAATTATGTCCCATCATTGAACAAGCCTAAGTCCCATCATTGAGAGATTTGGATTTTCATTTTCCCCCAATAAGAAATGTTGGATATAAAAATTTGTTTCCCCTATAGCTTTTTCGTAGTGCGTCTGTCTCTACAATTATGTGGTACGGTTACAGCAGCTGAAGTCCAACATCAAACAAATGTAATTTTCATACTGCAGGGAAAGCCAGTGCACTTTACATGCTGGCAACAATACTATAACAGAGCTAAGTAGTGCCCATTGGTGAAATCCTCACTTTCTGCCCTGGTTATGATGCCACTCTATCACTGAAGCATGTCTTTTTGTGGGAGAAAATGGTGGTGCTTGTCTGACCAAACACAGGGACCTTTTTAATGGGAAGAAGACAATTCTGTCATGCATGTCTCTTCAGATATTACACTGGAATGGGAACAATTGCTGTAACACACACAAGTCCATGTGTCAGTTTTAGTAATTTTCAATGCAGGTTTGTACACATCCTACATGAGGGTGATTTGTTAGTCTGTCCAGTGATTGTCATTAGAGATTTGGACCACTATTGTTTTGCTATTCATTCAATTGTAGCCCCCGAAAGCCTTGTGGAACTGTTTGAATCCCTATGTATCAGCTATGTTAACATGAATAAAACATTTTATAAACCAAATCCATGTTTGTCTTTCTGTTGTCTTTACTTGCATAACAAATGTACTGTATCTATTATTCTTGCAAAGTGCTGTATTTGACTGTTCTTCTTATGCAAACGAAATACGGGAAAGTAGATTTACTCTAGTGTACCCAGAAACTGGTACTTATGTTGCTGATGTCACTACAATTTGGAGGAACATATCCTACAAAATATTATTTTATGAAATACAAAAGATTAAATTGGCCAAATGTCACCAGAGCAACAGCATTCAACTATAAATGGGCAAACTGTCCATGCAGGTGTTGTTTACAACCTTGGCGGTGCTATAAAGGAGCAGATTTATTTGAATTTTTTTATTGAGCATTTCTATTTGATCATGCTGTTTAAGGTATAGATAGAAATATTGTAATTTTTACTCTTAACTATGAAGGACAAGTAAAAGAGATACTTGAGTATAAAGAATAGATAAGTGATGAAAAAGGCTATAACCCTGCAATTAGCATTTACCCACTCATTTCCACATGTATTTAC